CAAGATGCAGATGGCACTGCTAAAGTGCAGATGAAATTTATTTTCCCTAAAATGCAGATGAAATGCTGTTGTTTTAAAAAAGGTATAATGCAGATTATTTTTATCGTATAAAGTGCAGATAAAATGCTGCTCAAATGTAGATCGTATAATTTTATTGAAAGACATCATATTCGATGACTTGAGGTGAGATTGAGGTGGTTATATTCATTTAAATTTTTATACAAATTTGCTAGTAAATTACTAGTTAAATTGTTGGCGAATGGACTAGTAAATTAGCAAGTGGAAATGCGGGTCTTTGGCGAAGATTTAATAGATATCTAGTAAATTTCTACTAGGTGTACTGACTATTATTTATTCATTCTAATCAGTAACAGCTCAATTAAAAAGTTTGACTCACCTCCTGATGCTTCATAGATTCTATTTTACCAAAAAGTGATGCTTTATTAGTCGTTCTCCTTTTTCTGGGTAATTCAAATTAGATTTAATTCACTGTAGACATTTTCTAGAAAGCAAGAGGCTTAATAAAATTAGCAACAACTTTTCCTTAATGAGAACGAACTGTATTTTATGACTACTTCGCACAATAAAATAATTACAACTAAAATCAAATCAATTGAACAACATTTCAATGATAATTGCGTTTAAATTTCTTTCAATATCAAAAATAATGTTGATTGTCGATTCAACAAGAATATTCACTTATGAATCAGGTACTTAAACTTCAGAAACACTTTATTTCATGAGACAGTGAGTTCGATACCCAATAGATCTCTAAGATCAATGAATAAATCAGGTTTATCAGAGTTTTGTCTTTTGGATCAAGAATCTCACAAGCTTTTAAGACATTTCATAGATTTTACTGTTGTAATTGCTTGTTAAGGCATCCAGAATTGCTTATAATACTTTCCTCAATATCCCCAATGATTCATAATTCTATAATGTCAGATACAAAAGCAACAAACTGCTCAGGAACAGGTCCAAGTTTAAATTAATGACATCTAAAGTCTGCACTGCGCTATACTTCAAACTTAGAACTTTTCCAACTCGAATTTCTTTTCGTAACATTTATGTGACAAGCGAGAAGGGTCGTTTACAAAATAAATATGGTACTTGTGTATTCTAACTGCATTACAAAAGTCGATTGCAATACATACATCCATCCATATTCAAAAAGGAAGAAATAAAAAAGAAGTTTCAAAATCAAATTATTGAAAATTGTCAATTTCGTTGTCGTTAGTGCTATTGTAAATGAAGCAATTCACTCAATGACTCATTGACGTACCAGCTGAAGTATTTCACTTCATTTCTACCCCCGCCGTGATATTTTCATTGACTTTATTTTATTAACTTTAAAGCAACATACACAAATAATATTAAAAAAAAATGTTTTCAGGAAAGTATTCATGCTGATACATAACGAAGAAGTAGGAATAAAAGTGACGCCATTTGAGTGATTATCTAGAATGCTCAATAATTTGACAAGTCAGTGTCGGTGTGTGTGCGATTGCAAATTGAATTTTTTAATAACATTGCTTTAATGCTTAATTGGACAGAAGAGTCTCTCATGTTGCAATGCAGTATATATTTGGTAATTCAACACCATTTATTTTATACAATTGCGACTCATTTTTATTAAGGAAGAATAAATTTATTTTAAAATAGTCATAATTATGACTGATGCCATAGAGAGGCATTCATTACTCTACGTATAGCTATATGCTGAATATGCTATGATTTTAATAAATAAATTAATTTTTTTGTGATCCCTAAATTGTGATGGGATAAATGCATTATCTCGATTCATAGCCACAATCATTTTGCAGAACATATGATAATAGATATATGGAATGGATACACATGATGGCATTTAGTGATGCTTAATTGATTTGAAATTTTTGATATTTTCAGTTTTTAGCATGATTGTCAATGATTTTATTAAAATTGTACTTTTTATTGATATTTGGGAAGCGGGAGACATCGATAGAACTTTCTTTAGACTCAAACTAAGGAAGATTCTGAATCATAATTGATCTGTTTGACTAACGAAGCTTAGCTTTCTATCATATTGACTTGGAAAGCTTAAATTACACAGAAATTGCAAAGAGACGACACTATGAGGATTCAGTGCAGAAATTGAGCTTTGCTGGAAGCAAATCATCCCAAAACTGGGTTATAATCAGTTGCGTTTGCTTCGCATAGTCGCGTCTGATATGATTTTAAGACTGTAATAATAATAATAATGTGTGAAGGACACATCCTTTCAGCTGGAGGCATTGCGATTCAAATTAGAACAGAATCTATTGTACCACACCCTTTACACCTACAGTTTATAGTGGGATCCGAACCACTTGCAAGCTCTGCACATTGCAAAGACATGAGTACGTCATAAGACCTGATGTACCCTGCAATGTACCTAGTCACAACTCGTGTGCGCAAGATGCCGTAAGGAAGTCATCCAGATGCTAGTATATCCTTGTATACCTAGCAAAGGAGGCATATTCTATGCCAAAGACATCAATACTACACCCAACACACGAACCGAGCTTCGTAACTAGAACGGTGAAATGGAAAAAGAGCTTCTAAAATTAGACATGGCCTAGGATTGAATCCAGGACCTTTGGCACAGAAGGCCTACGCTCTACCATTTAGGTCATTGATGCCATTTAACCGCTTAAGACTGATGAAACTTAATAAAGATTTTAATTGCTAATTAGAAATATCTGTTCTTGTGTATGATTATTATTAAATAGAGAAGAAAGAACAACTTCAGCATCTTAAGTTTTACTGATTCCATAGAAATCTGAGGTTTTGATTCCCAAATAATGGCTAAACTCTTTACTAGTCTAAACTTTTTCCTATAATTAACTTGCTTAAAATGAAAACTGTAAAAGAGGTTTTCACAACCATCGAATCTTAACCGAGCGACTATCATCAATTCATTAAATCAATAAATTTTAATTTCCAACAATATCTGTCACTTCAAAAAAGTCTATTCCTAGAAATTTAATTTCATGTTATTTTTGATGCAAAACCCTTACTTTATAAATTTATATATAAAATGAAAAGGATAAAATATTTATTTTGAATGATTAGACGTAGATCTTTGCATAAATAGAATCTGTATTTCTTTTATAGATTTGAAGATACGATGGATATCATCTGAAGTAATAATCTCATCTCTCTTTCCCAAGCACGTTTATATAAAAATAAGAAAATGTACTAAATCATTCCCCAATGACACAATATGCTTCAATTTTTATTTCATCTCTCTCGTTTCCTTGAAACTCTGAATAGAAAGTATAAAGAAAAAAATCCATTTCGATGATTTGAAAAATAATATAAAAATGAGGAAGAATGGAGTGCCAAAGAAGATTGAGCACGTTCTTCATTTCACAATAAAGAATGAAAATGTGATGAAAATTCTTCCTTCTTCAGCAGAGCAGTATAAGATGGAGAGGAACTGGTTAGAAAGTCTTAAAAGATTGAAGATTTTGACGCTTTTTTTGAGCTGAAATCAAGTTAATGCTTTTAACGGTTTTGTGGAAATTCAAAAGTTAACGGTTTTGTAGAATTTAAAAGTTCAAACAACCAAATTTTAAATTCTACAAAACTGTTAAAAGTTTGAATTTTATTAAACCGTTACTAAATCAATGGAATCCTATCAGGACAATATGAAGCCAGATTAGCTTCAGAAAAAAAATTCATGAACAGTAAATTGAATTTTCACGTCAGGACATCTCAAGAAGACATGGAGATGAAATACTTTTTCATCATCATAATTGGTTACACGAGTAAAATAATCGACTCGACATTCTCGCCTTGTCTTACCAAGTTAAATCAAGTGACAAGCTCAAGAGTCACTTTTTGGATGGAAAGAATATTGTAATTGTTTTAAGGACTGACTTTTATGACACACTCAAGGGACATAATTTGTCAGCATGAAATGACTCTTCTATTTCATTTGTGAGATGAGAAACGTGAGAAATTAAATAATTGATGTGGAACTATTAAGGATATGCAGTATACATGCCGTCGGTATTCTAAATTTAATTTTTTTATATTTAAAAAGAGGAAAAATTATTAAATTTTATGAAATAAAAGTGCTGTCACCATTTTTTCTGTTAATTCTATATCCCTACATACATAGCAGTCTTTCGTTTATGCTGTATTGCGCAAGAGCTTTACATAGGGAACCATTATTCAATTCTTTCATTCTTTTTTCATCCAACACGCCCCATTTTTTTCCATCTCTGTTCATTCCCTGTATTCGTTACGTGCTACTGCTATACATGCCTGTATCTTTCTCATTTCTCAAAATTAACATGATTTTTACGTGATTTCTGCTCAAAAATGAATACTATGTATCTCAATTCATAATAGAAACAGGAAATGATAATGATATGGTCTCTGAAACACGTATATTGAAACATAATTATTGCACCATTTCAGCTATAATTCAGCTCATAATGGTAATTTTATTTTACTGATGCTGCCTTTTTTAACATTTTTTAAAAGACATTTTTTTAAACTTTTTTTTTATCGTAACTTTGTGGCTGTGAATTTTAATCAGCTTGGAACATTATGTTCTACGTGATTGCTGGAATGTCTTTCCGTTATGTTACTTTCTATCATAATTTGATTTATTTCATTAAAAGGAAGGATGAAAGGAAGTTTCTACAAAAATTAACTCAATTAAACTTTCACGATGAAGAAACTTTTTATTTTTTTAAAATTATTATGGCCTATAATGAATGGTTTTACATTAAAATTATCATGAGTTTTACTTGTCAAAGCTTGTAAAAATTAAAACACCTTTTTTATAAAAAAAATTGAAATTCCAACGGATTTGGTAAATTTGAATTTCAACGCTTTTGTAGAATTTAAATTCATTGCTCATTGTTTAACGGTTCTTGTAAAATTCAAAAATACTAAGCAACTGATAGTAATTTTCAAATTTTAAAAACCCGTTTAATTCGTTTGTTTACATACTTTAAAACTGTCCCAAACTCTCTAAAATAGACACATCAATCAGCTGACACATACTCTCAATGCACGCGAGGAAAAAAACAGTATAATTATCTCATCTCAGTGTCAACAGCTCTCTGTAATAGAGATCAAATTCTCAGTTTCGTTATCAGTGTAAATTAGTCAGTTTAAACAGTGTGTTTGCCTCGTTCATGCCTAATTTAGCGAAAAGAACCTTAAGAATGGCTAAAATAATCGGTGGAAATAGCAAAAAAGATAGTATAGTGTACTCAATTTCAATGCGAGAGTGTTTTGTGATATACGTCCAAAGTATAATTATTGGGATCTATATTTTATTCAAGAATGCAGTCTTTTACATCAGAAGTTACGTCGATAAAAAGTTCGGAGTGTCTAAAAAGAGAATCATAAGAAAATTTAATGTATTATCATCAATAACTGACAAATCATCTAAAAATAGAATAAATGGAACCAAGAACAACTTAAATCGATCGATTACACCCGGAACTCATAGATCTGATCTCGGAGAACATAAATTTATAAGAATTAAGGTAGGATGATGTTTATTATTGAGAAAAGGTTCTGTTTGTGATGATTTTTGCGTCACTGGATGTTTGTGGAATTAAATCGATAGATTTAAAATAAATCCGTCGGATCAAAAGTAAATCTTATGACTCAGTCATCAAATAAGCATTTATTTACAAATGTACAAAGTTCAGAAACTTAACAGACATGCCAAAATTCTCATTATCAATAATGTCGCAGTCATTTCATTGACAAAAGTCTAAAATTTGATTGCAACGCTCTGTTGCTTGCTTTAATTACCGACCGTGCGTAGTTGCTGACACGTTTAGTCTTTAATTCCTCATTACATAAGTACGTTGATTGTCAATGAACTTGAAACTTTGTTGCCTATGTCAACAAGCACGATTACTCCAATACGCAATCAATATTAATACACATGTCAGCCACAGACTATATATACGCAAATTGTGCATTATATAATTAATTCTCAATCATCAATTACAGCAAACGAGATTTCATTACGTCGAGAAAGGTGAGAAAAATGATCGAGTTGTTTTGTTACTTCATGGGTTTCCCGACTGTTTTTATGGATGGAGGAATCAAATTGATATTTTATCAGACCAGAACCATGTGATTGCACTTGACCTGAAAGGATTTAATAATTCCGATAAACCATTGACTTACTGCCATTATAAGCCTGACCGAATTTGTTACGAACTGAAATGTTTCATTGATGCTTTGCAAATTAAATCATTTTGCATAATTGGACATGATATTGGTGCTCTACTGGGGTAATGAATTCATCATATGCTTAATTTTAGATAGTTTCATTCAATTCAATTTATGCTTCATTTTAGATGGATATTTACGCTAAAATACCCAGATTATGTGAATAAATTCATCTCCATTTCCACACCGCATCCGAATTTATTTTGGAATACAGCCAAGGGTTCAAAAATGACGAATTTCTGGTTCAATATGATTCAGGTGAGTTAAGAGTAGCTGGAAAGTTTAAAATTCGATATAAATAGCCACACAAAGTTAGTTGATAATGCACGATTCTTTATTTATGCTTCATAAGCGTCTTATGATTTTTTAATATCCTTTCTAATGTACGTTAAACTCAAACTTTAATTCTCTTTAATATATTCTGCATGTATTATGTACCTGATGACTGTTTTTTCTGTGTTAATTAGTTCCTTCTTCTCATTTTACGTCAGCTAAATAAAAGTGCTTAATATATCTGTTGTTTTAAATCTATAAATTGTATCTTCCTCCTATAACATGTCCATTACTTATCCGTTTCGTTCTATCTATTGCTCTAGATACCCTTTTTACCTGAAATGGAATTGAGTAAGGATAATTCGTTTATTCACGAGACATACAAGCATTTAATCGTTAATGGGTCATCGAATGAGATTAATGAGAGCAAGCAGAGCATTTTAATGGAGACATATGACTATGTCTTTAGTCAGTATGAGGACTACTCGGGAGGTTTACATTATTTAAGGAATTTGCGTCTGTGTCGAGTTGACGAGTCTTGCTTAATCAGGTAAAAATTGCATTAAGTTGCACAAGTCTAGAGATCAAGAGATTTTATGCTGCAATGGCTGAGACGCAGCATAATTTTCGAATAATCAATGGCCGTTGTTTTTTAAATATTTTTTATCCGTTATTTATCAAATAATTTTAATTCTAGATGTCCATGTATTCTCATCTTTGGAACAAACAACTCAAATTTTAAACTTGACAGTGCGATTAGAAGTGCTGAATATTGTGAGAATCCTCTAATTAAAATAATTGACGGTGCCGGTTATTGGCCACATCAAACACATGTTGACGAGATGAATAAAATTTTATTAAAATATTTGGTGGGGGAGAAGAAGAGTACTGAGGAAATTGAGTCAAGCTCTCCTTCTAGTAGTCCATTAAGGAAGGGATTAATGAGTAGAGTTATGGATAAAATGTATAGTGTTGGTCAACAATATGTGGTTTAATTTGTATCATTTTAGTGTAAAATTTATCGATATTTAACTTAATTAATGTAATTTAATAAATCCTTTTGTCATATGTACCTCAATGCTAATTGTTTTTATTTCTCATCCCATAATCCTAGTTTACGCATTTTGGTTTGAAAGTAATTTTCGAGCTTGTTAGCTAATGCAACATATTCAGTTTCTGGCGAATTGTAAATCCGGCAATTTGTAAAAATTCGTTTCATATCAGCTTGAAAAAGGCGGCGACTAACATAGTATCTGTGGATGGAAACATGAAAATTAACGGTTTTTAAAATTTGAATTTTAACGGGTTTTCAAAATTCAAATTTATATAAACTGAACAGAGTGAACTTTGAGTTTCTGAACAAATTTCATTTAAATGTGTTGTAATTTAAAAAAACGTAGTAAAAATGCTATAATTAAGTGAAAACAGTAAATTAAACACAGTAAATGCACTCAAGTTGCAGCATAATCATCAAAGTTTAAAGTTGACAAGATCCAGCAACAATTTAACATGAAAAAATTCAATTTTATTTCAATTACCTATTTTTCAAGCGATCACTGATTGTTTTAAGGTCCATTGGAAATCTAATAATATTATAATAATCTGGAACTTCTGCGGCTGATACTGGCTGTAAGTATTAAACCATTTAAATAACATTTCTAGTAAACATCCAGTAAAGTAATTTTACCTGTAAAAATGGCCAACTACTTTGGTGCTGACGAACAGCATTTAGAACTGAACTTAGTTGCATGGTGAACTTCTCAAAGTCTTCTTCTTCTTCAGTCGATTTAATTTGTTTTAATGCCCTAATTGCCCTCCAATTTATATCCCTCAGACCCGGTATCGATTCCAAAGATATGCATTTTGATCCTTCTCTGAATGCTGAGATGCCAGGGTAAATTTTCTGCATCTCCTGTTGTCGTTGAAGTATCAATTCCTTAATAATTTCCTTTTGCTTCCTTATAACGTTACTAAATTGCGTGTAAACAATTCCTGAATGTAACTCGCAATGCATGAGGGTAGCACCTTCATATTCTTTTATAAATCCAGAGTAGGCAGCTGGAGCAAGTTTTATTTCTTCCGAGAATCCTTGCTTCTTGAAATATCCGAGTGCAAACTCATCAGCGAATGTTAAGAAGTGACGAATTTCCTGCTTATTGCTGTAGTCTTTAAGATGATTCATTAAGTGTGTTCCATAGCCTTTAACTTGCTCGCTACTCGTGACTGCACAAAATACAATCTCGATAAAGCCTTGACTTGGAAATGGACGAAAGCAGATTCCACCGATTGGTTTGTTGTCTTTTATAAGAGCTAGAGTCTTGTGTTTACCATCGAACACTAGCTGTGTAATATACTCCTTTGGCATTCTGTGAATATAATTGAAATTATCAAATTATCAAGTTAGATATTATTGAATAGATCTCATACCTAGGCAGTTGATGAGCAAAAACATTTTTACAAGTCAAGAGCCACGCCAAACATTCTGCGGACGGCTGTTTATTTAAAGGATTCGCAATGATATGAAAAGATATTTCTTTTCTGCTTTGTTCTGCCTTCGCTGCATCATCTCTTGCTGACAATTTGACAGGGTTTAGTACTTCAGCATGAACTTTGTAGTCATCGTCGTTAATGCGTTCGAGGATATTCAAGACAGTCAGATCTGATAAGTCTTCACACGTATTTTCACGTTTCAATCTTTTAAATCGCGGATCTTCATTACAATTTGGATCCTGAAGTTCACGCTTGATTGTACCTCCTTGACTCCCAGTATTTGGAAATACAGGCTTGAATTCAGAGTCAAAGATTAATGAACCTTCATTGGCGATCTCTTCACGTAAATCATCTAAGAATTTTGGCAATGAATCAAAAACGATTAGTTTTTCAGCAGGTAACTTTGAACGTTCCTTATCGGCTTTATATTTTTGTAGCATTAATGACGATACGAAGCTATAGATTGACTTGAGGAAAGCCTTTCCAAATATATTTGACGTTTTGTATTGACGAAAACTTGAGCAAAATGCAGGAATCCAAGCATTTATTAACCATCTAATTTTGAAACACGAGAAAAATGAAATTAGACTTGAATATGATGAAAAAATACCAAATTTTTCGTAAATAGGTCATCATCGGATGACTGAATTACATAGAGATCTCTCGATTCAATGACTTCTAATCTTTTTTTTAAATCAATTAAACTTGATTGTTAGACATAGTTGAACTATTCATGAATATCATACCTAGTATAATTAATCCTATATCCCGAAGCCTCATCATTTGATGTTGTTTCAGTTCTCCTATCGTTCGGTGTCTCATAATCCCAACAATTTATACCTTATAAGTAAACAAGCAAATAAGTTAATATTTACAATTGACTCATGCACACTTTTCATCTTGCTTCATTGGCTTTAATTGAATATTTTTTTATTTGAAATTTAGCATTGTCTGAGTTATTTTAATTGATTGCTTATTGCCTAGTTATTAGAAATAAAATTTAATATTGACCAAATATCAAGGGTCAGACACTCTAAAGTATTGTACAGTATTGTACAATACTTACAATTCTTACAATACTTTCCATACAAGAAGTATTGTACAATACCTACAATACTTACAATACTTTTCATATAAGTATTGTAAGTATTGTACAATACTTACAATACTTTTCATATAATTTTACAGTACTTTACAATACTTACAATACTGAAATTTAATTATTCAAGAACCAAATTTTAAAAGAAATTAAATATTTTTTCAGTTTTCAACAATTTGTAAAACCAAACTTAATACTTTTTTTTGACAAATATTGATAAATAACATTTTTTTTGATAAATCAACATTATTATTGAAAATTAGCAGGGGTATTTTATGAAAAACTAGCACAAATTTCAGTTTTCCATTAAAAAAGAGAATTTCTGATTATGTAATGGCTATAAAAATGGTAAAAAGTTCAAAATTCTTTTGTAAAGCTAGACTGATGCAAATCAAGAATTGATTTCATACAATTTTCATGCATAAAACCATACAGGTACGAAGTTTATTATGTAAACTTATATTAAATGTCAATAAGGAATCAAAATAAAATAGATTGGTTTCATCTATGGTAGGCCAACGAGTCCTTATTTTTGATATTGAATTTTTTTGGTACCTTATTTTCGAGCATAAGTTCAAATTTTTTTCACACGTTAAATTATTATATCTAATATCTTTAATTAATAGTTTAAATATTTGTTTTTCATCATCAAAGTGTTAAATGAATCCACTCAAATGTAATGAATCATTACTGATTTACTAAACAATTAATGCAAGTGAATTAAAAACATTTTTATTTCCAATGTAAACAACAACAAAAAATTTAGAATATTTTTTGAAAAAAAAGCATTTTAAACTAATGTTTGCTGCATTTATCACCGATTAAACGATTAAATTAGTGTTAAAAGACATATTAGAATGATTTAATTCCTAAATCATAAGTAAATTAAGTCAAAAATTGCGAAAAATTTAAATTTTCATAAAAAATGTTTTTCGAAATGGCGAAATTTTGTTCGAAAAACATTCGAAACGAGTTTGAATTTATTTCGAATCAACGTTGATAACGTCTCTTGGCATATCATAGGGTTTCATTTTCACAAGATTTATCACCCTTTATAGCAAACTGCATCACGTTTTATACAAAGTTTTTGATCAAAGTATAAGGTTTTAAATGTATTCAAACATTACTTTGACGATTTGAATTTTTTTACCTCTGACAAAAAGGCGATTAAGAAGGAATCAAATTTAACAAATTTATCAAATGGTTTTTATAGCATTTTTTTTTTTTTTAAAATACATATTTTTAACAACTGCATCTCTAAGACAATATAAAACTGTATATTTTCTTCTTTCTTTGACAAAATTATTCTTATTTTTTTTAGTTCTTATAGTTGATACTAGACTTTCACGATTTCCTGTTCCCAACATTTTTGGGACAGAAACTCGATGAATAACAATAGTTATCCAAAAAATTTTAATGTAAAATTATCTCAATTGAAAAGTTTCATCATTTAAACACAAAAAAATCTTTCAAATTTCCAGGAGCATGTTTGATATTTGAGTTTAAATTTTTATCCAGTTCCCGATAATTTTTTGGGTCCGGGAAATCGTGAATGCCTGGTTAATACAAAAATATATATATATCATTTCAGGAAAATTCACTGAAAATTTCTGATGAAAAATGTCCTTAATAAATGCAAAGTAAACTTTAAAGAAACAAACTTAAATCAAGGCATAGCAATGTTATGATATGATTTAAAGCGCTATAAAAAAAACTAAACCTCTATAAAACTGAAGCAAACGTTAAAGTTCCTCTAATATGAGGAGACTAATGTCTAATATTCTCATCTTATCTATGTTTTCGTTAATAATGTTTGATATTTTTGGCTGCATCTGGCGTTATATCGCCTTTGTTTCGAGCCAGAATACTTTTTTGTTATTGACAATTTTGAAAAATGACTTTATTACCAAAAATTTTGTATACAAATATTTTTATAATATTTGTATATGTTTTAGACTGAATATTTTTGAAGAACTATAAAATTTCAATTAAAACTTAAAAATGTTTAATTCAAAATTGCTAATTATGGATTTTCATCAAATTTTGGTTCAAAAAATGTAAAGAAACACGAAAAACTACATAAAATCCGCCAATTATAATCAAATTCATATGACAAATGTTTCTCAAACTGTCTTGTAAAAACTACAATACTTACAATACTTTCCATACAAGTATTGTAAGAATTGTAAGTATTGTACAATCCTACAATACTTGTGATACAAGTATTGTAAGTATTGTAGGCATTGTTCAATACTTACAATACTTTCATATGTATTGTAAAGTATTGTACAATACATTACAATACTTTTGGAGTGTCTGACCCTTGCCAAATATTGACGAAATTCTATTTTAAAGTTGATTCTGGAAGTTTTTATCTAAAATTCTAGTTGAATGGTTCAAGAGATAACTCAATTTTGATTAAGAAGGTTTAAGAGCATTGCTACTTAAGCCAGGGAGCAAAGTGTGATTCTAGACCTAAGCTTGACCTAAGCTACATAATAAAATTACACTAGGTTGTTTCCAGTGTCACGTTCAAAAAAGGTTGAGAATCACTGTTAAGGGGATACGAAGAGAAGGTATACTTTAAGTCGGTGTTGTCCAAACTTTTTTGTGCCACGGCACACTTAATTTAGAGTCCACGGTTAAAACTTCACACAGCTTTCGGTTTGTGGCATGTCATTGATTATTTTGCTGCATAAGTGAATCGCGGTACATATTTTAGTCAGCACTGCTTTACACATATGATGTATTTTGAACAAAAATAACAGGGGATTGCGACTGAGAGACGTCATAATTAAACAACTTTATATCCGTAAAGGAAATCTCTATGACAGACTCATAACTGCATTTAGCAAACAATAAAATATAAAAGAATTTGACTTCTGAACGATCCTGAATATTAAAATCTACACTCCATAATAAATCACATGAACCAAATTATAAATGCGCAAAATTACTGTCAATGACAAGATGTCACCCGACTCAAAATAATTTTTATCACTTACAATGTAGGAAATTTTTTGCCAGCTCTGTAAATATTTGAAATTGAAGTTTTGTTGATGGATTCTCGCGTAAATGTCCATACTTGATAAAGACAAAATTTGATATAATTCTTTGAATGCACGGCGATTCAAACGGTGGCTGTCCAAGTGGTGATTCTGGTGGTGTGACTATAACTGATTGACTTTTTGTGAGGATACAATGACGGAGTAATTTCGATAAATAAATATAAACTTTCTTAATGTCTGCATCATTCTGCCTCGAGATACTAATATATAAATTTTCCATATCAACGATATTGTTAAGCAATCGATTTAAATCTGAATCAGTCAAACTATTTAAATGGCACACATGTTTTGCTGCGGAAGTAAAGAATATTTGAGATAAGAATGTTTAGACTTAGTGATAAAAGATCAGATTTGAAGGTTTGGTCACTGTCTACTTACAGAAAGGATGAGAACAATTAGTATTTGAACATAAATCCTTATTTTGTGGTAAATAACTTGATTCATCTTTCTTACGCTGCTCCTCACTCAATTTGAATCCAACACATTTACATCCTTTCTCCTATTTGTGAATGAAAAGTTTAACATAAGGAGGAATCTAATAAGTATGATTGTATTTGACTTACATATTGACATGTCGAATAAGTTGATATTTTGAATAGCTTAGACGTCCTAGGCAAGTTAAATATCTTTTGTTTTCTATCAAGGATTTTCTGTATGTTACTAGCTCTCGTTGCACTCGTATTAGATGATTCATTATGATTTTCTTCAGACATTATAAATTGCAAAAAATTATTTTCAACTAAATCACAACTTTTCACCACACTTCTTTTATAACTATCAACAACTTATCAAGTAACTGGTTCCAATTAACAATTATAATACAATTAAAGATTAAAACTTAACGCGATTTATGTGAAATTATTAAATAAAAAAATTGAAAATGCTGAAAATTTTTTCAAAACAAATGTGTAGTGGAACGGCATGGAATGTGGTCTTTAAAAGTGATCATAGTTTTTGATTTCTATAACAAACACTGTTTATGCTTTAAATATATATGAATAATATATTTTGTTTTGTTTTCAATTCTTTATTTAACGTCACATTTAGATTTTTTTTGCCATTAAAAAATGTCATTAACTTAATAGAATAATAATTATTTAATTTAAGACAAAAAAAGTTTCAATTTTAATCCAATAACTCCTTCAACTTATTTGTAAAGTAAATTTCAAGCTTTTCTGCACATTGAAAATATTCAGTTTCGGGTGAATTGTAAATTTTACAATTTGTAAAAATCCTGTTCATATCTGCTTTGAATAAGTGTCGTGTAACGTAGTACCTAAAATTATAGAAACTATCAACTTTCGTTCTGTTTTTTTTTTTTATTTTTGAAAAATAACGGTCGATTCTATCGAAACTGTCAAGTTTGTCAACAATCTGAAAACATTCAAATTACCTAGCTTTAATCCTTTCTCCAATAGTTTTAAGATCCATTGGATATTTAATGTGATCATAATAGTCGGGGACTTCAGACGCTGATACTGGCTTAAGGAACGGCCAACTACACTTGTGGTTCTTTATTAATTGTAAAATATTACTCAATTGCATCGCAAGTACTTCTGGATCATTTATTTCCTCCGTGTATCTTAAATGTTTTGGAGTATTTCTCGGCAGTTTCCATCCATAAATGTCACGAAGTCCAGGAATCGCTTCGAATGGAATCGATCGTCGAAATCCTTCCTTAAAGCATGTGAGTCCTGGATGAACTTTTTGCATTTCTTGTTGTCTATGCTTAAACAGTTCTTTAATTATTTCTTTCTGCTTCCTTACAACACTACTGAATTGTGTATAAATTATTCCTGGATGTAATTCACAATGCATCAAATAAGCTCCTTCATAATCTTTAATATATCCAAAATATTCTGAACGTGGGAATTTAATGTCATTTGAGAACCCCTGTTTCTTAAAAAATTCTACAGCATTCTCGTCTGCATATGTCAGGAAATGATGAATCTTTTTGGAAATACTATAATCCTTAAGATGATTCATTAAGTGAGATCCATATCCTTTAATTTGTTCTTTGTCCTCTACCGCACAAAAGACAATTTCTATAAATCCTTGTGTTGGAAAGGAACGGAAACAGATTCCACCGATTGGTCTACCGTATTTTATGAGAGCTAGGGTCTTGTGATTACCATCAAACACTTGCTGTGTGATGTATTCCTTTGGCATTCTGAAAAATCAAAAATTAATGGTTAAGACAGAAACAATTTATGGACATAGTTTCTAATGATGTTTCAAATGATGCTTACCTTGGAAGTCGATGTGCAAAAACGTTTTTTAGATCCAACAACCATTTCTTTTGAAGCAATGACACTTTATTTAACATGGAATTTCCCACAACATGGAACTCAATAATTCCACGTCTCTCTTCAGCTTTTGGATGATCATCGCGTGCTGAATGTACAACTGGATTCATAACATCTGTGCAATTTATATTCGGATCATTTACACGATTTATTGCTTCTAAAACCGTATCGTCAGGTAAATCCTCAACCTCACGACGCATTCTTTTAGCAAATCTATTTTCATTGACTGTATCAGCAAATCTTTTAGTTCTTGCAACGTAACTAACCGATGAATTTGATGCTGGCTTGAATGCTGGATTAAATATTTCTGATTTATCATTTTGAAGTTCTTCACGCAACGAGTCAAGAAATTTGGGCAATCGTTCCAGTAAGATTTGCTTTTCAAGCGGTAAACTTTCTTTCTCTGCAATACATGAGTGACATAAAACAATTGAATTGATTCTAATTGGAATAATTGTAAATAATGCATACCAATCTCATAATGTGACAAAAATTGTTGTGATAAAAACGGAAATGTGTAAAGTAAAAATCGCTTTCCAAAAATTTCACTGCAATTGTAGTATTTGAGGCTATTACAAAATGATGGAACATAACAAAACACAAGCCAGCGAGTATAGCTATAAATAGAAAAGCAACAAAAACAAATAATTTAAATTTTTAATCAACAAATTTTAAATGCAAATCTTACTCAATTTTATAGAAATTCTCTTCTGCATTGGCATCTTTACAATCGTTGGGACACTCAAAATCCCAGTTGTTATAGCATAATAAGAATGTCCGTGCTACTTCCATAATAACTTTAAATTCAGCTTCATTTGTTTCACGTAGCTTATCATACTTTAAAATGACGAAGTTTTTGATGATTTTTTGAATCGACGGTTTTTCAAATGACTTCTCCGGATCGCCTAATGGGCCTTGAATAATTGCTGGCTTCCGTTCAGTAACACATTGATGCAGGAATGTGAATAGAAATGAGTAAATTTTCTTAATGAATTTATCTTTTTGTAGACCAATTGTTGTATACAACACTTCGGCATCGACGATCATTGAAAGCAATTGATCCATTTGTTCGTTCGAAATATTTTTAATGTGTGAGAAGTGTGCCTCTGTAAAGTTAAGAAGAATATAGAGTTTTTCTTTTTACATTCATATGCACTGTATATGATTACCTAATGGATGTTTACAATTTGCGTTTCGACACAAGTCATAAATGTTTGGACAATAATCAACTTCAACATCTTTATGTCTTGACTCTTCTGGCAGTCGCCAGCCTTTACAGCAACATTGATTACAGTTCGAATACATCGCAATCTTCGAGAGTTTTTGATTCCGTGGCAGTTGATATATCTACAAAATGGCCTCATTGAAAAATTTTCCGATACAAAATAATTGTTTTTTTTTTTCATTTTTTTACCTTCGCTTTCCTAGCTTTTATTCTCAAAATATTGTTTTGACGACTCGAATCCACTTTTAAAGTTTGCTTTCTGGCTATATTTTCATTTAAACCACCCACTGGGTCGTGGTTTATTGAAGCCATCGCAATTTTTTGTGGCTTTGACCTGTTTAGACCTATTTTAATTAAATTTTTAAAAATAAAAGCTACTAATATTTTGATATAATTTTTAACTTATAACAGCTTCAATTTTATAACAATAATATTATGACGGATTTGAAGTTTAAATGGCCGTTAATCTTAATATTTGAAAATTTTTGAATGTCGATTTTTTTTAAATTGAATAATTAATTAAAGAAATTGTGTAAATTCCATGAATAATAAAATTCAACAAATCGGAAAATCTAGGAAAATCACAAAAACAACGAAAAAAAATTCACGCAACATGAAACTAGAATCTTATGCTGCAAAGCAAGAGAGGAATGACACAACATGTATTCTCTCAAAAACAAAACAAATTGTCTCCCCAACAGTTGCGTACTTTAATGTTGTACGACAATTTATATCACATACCCGAGTTCATTGCCCTCCTTACCAATACAATTATTGACTTTGCCGTTTGTATTTGGCTCTCCGAAAAACTTCTGTCTATCATCATTCAGTTATTCACAGTACTCCGCGAAACACGTACGTTTGAGAGTCCTCAAAGTATTTTTTTTCCTACTTCATATATAGAAAAAGGATTTCAGTTACACAAAAAATATTAAAATTAAAAAAAAGAAAATATTCCTGTTAAGGCCAGTAAAGTTAAGCTTATCTTTCTCAAAAAATAATATTATAAATGAGTCAAAACAGTGAGAGTAAAAAATCAAAGAAAATAAATTAAAATAAAAAAATATTTTTAAAAAATTAACGTTAAATTCTGAAAAAGGATTATCGATATTATAGAAGAAAGAGAAAGAGTTTCTTCAGATTGTGTATTGTGTACATATAGAGAAGAAAAAAAAAATGCAGAAAGGATCAATGTCCTTAAAAAAAGAAAAGAGAATCCTGTGAGTGAGTGAGAGTGTATATGTGTGTATAATATATCTATTTGTAAGAAATTTGCCATAAAAAAAAAATTTCTTTATTTTTTCTTACTGATGGTTCAAATGCGGAAGTGAAGAAAGGAGAAAATAAGAAAGAATTCATTTTTTTCCCGATGAGTATTGCATAAAAAATTATATTTTTCGGGAAATTCTAGTGAGGTGTGCTTTTTAACATTGAAATAAAATAAAAAGGAATAAAATAAGGTGGAAATTTAGTGTTGTGAAAATTTGTGGCAAAGGTGGTTGGCCTAACAGCAAGAAGGAAATAAGGTTTGTAGCTATAATTTAAGTTTGAAGATGTTAACTTACCGGTGCGCCGAACTTAAAAGTTTATGTCATGTTCTGAATGGCACGTTGTGGAAAAATTCATTTTTTATCTTTAGTGGACAGTCATAGTGCTGCCAACTCACATTAATGGCTTTCTTCAGCACAAGAACATGTTGGAGTTTTAAATCAGGCTACTCGGGTGAATCCTAGTCACATATCTCAATATTTTGAATCCTATTATGCACCAGTGCTTCCAAGGGTTCATCAATAGTTACATTATAAGGTAATCCTAAGAAACCAGTCTAAGTAGACCACGCTATGCTTCTCGGGATATGCCCACGTTTTTTTAATATCTGAACATTCTATTTTCTACACCTCTTCATCATGTTTTTATTTTTGGATTTTTGATGATGAAATTTTTATTTTTGGACATTGATACTTTGGGATAAATTCAATGTCGAACGTTTAAGGATGTAATTGTAAAAGCCTTAATATTGTTGAGAAAGGCAACCGGCAAGACTTCTGTTAAGTCACCAACAAGTCTACACACATAATTAATGGGCTCTAAAATAATAAATGTTAAATCAATTTAAATAAAGATTTCTTATTTCCGGTATATCCAAGGACTTTAGCATTCCAATATTGTTTTCACAGTTTTGAAGATGATTCAAAGCTTTTTTTTTATAACAGTAGCTTTATAGATCGCCGTTATAGACAGTAAACATTTTGTATTGGAGTTGAATTCAATGTCGTTTCAGCTTATCGAATATGGCGTGCAAACTTAGAGTATTTATTAAACTTTTTGGTAATTGGAAATTGTTTTTGAATATTAAAATTTTGATATATAAGAAAGCTATTGTTTGATTTCTCACTTCGTGTGCTATAAAAACAACCAAAAGTTTAAGTAGCTGCTTAAATTTGAACAAACTATAGTTAATGAGCTGGTTTAGTCACAAAATGTTATTATCATGTCATGATATTTTGTCGATTTTATAGCTTTTCAATACGATTCTTATTTAATATTTAACAGCTATTTGCCATCGATACGAAGTTGACGTCCTTTTGAATGTCATTATCATATTTCGTTTCGTGATTCTTCCTTATAGCTTACTTAACAAATTTGCATTGGATTTACGGTTTGTTAAACTCTTCTGGCTGTTTTCAATTTTCATTGCTTACCTTTAAATGAATTTTGAGCCTTAAAAATACACAAAAGAAAAAGCAAGGGCAATAGACTAATAATTGTCTAGGAATAACGGGCCTCGTGATGATTTCGGCGAAAAAAGGTCTATGAATTATTTCTTAATGACTTAACTAGATTGCAAATTTCAAATGTTAAGCATAAGATCTTTAAAAGAATTTATTACGTCTTTTGTTATAACAAGATCAGTCTCATAAATCTTTGGATCAATTGAATATTTGATGATGGAATAAATAAAGAGGTATAAGAATAGATTTGTTGACTTTGCAGTCAATTTTAGGAGGTTTTTAAGGCTGATTTCTTAAGCTTCTAGTTGTTTTGATTTGAATTAAAATTGTAATTTTATTATCTCTTCTTGAAAACCACACGTAAAGTTCACAACTGGTATTAAGTTAGATTACCAGTCTTCTTTGCACAATGTTGTCTTTATTTGCCTGCTTTATTTACAAAAATCTAAAGTTCTAATCAATTCTTCTATCAGTTAGTCTAAGGTCTGGATTAGTCCCAGATCTAAGTTAATCGTAGGTTTAATTGAAGACCTTATAATCAAAAAATCGTTATCTTTTTTCTATTGATCGCTAATCGGCAAAGTATAGACAATAAAGTGCAATTAAATGAAAAAAAAAATATCTCCAAAATAATCTAAAAAAATCTCAGCCTTTCCTTACATGATAATACAAATCACACTAGTACTTCTTAAGCTATTCATCAACTTTAATAGGAGTTTCTATAGAGATTCTAAACATCATGTAACAGAGTCCTTAGATTTTTTAAGACTAATCCCGAGTGTTTACGCCTTGACAATCAGAAATATTTGTCAATTCACTGTTCTAAGTAGTCATACCAACTACATAGATCTGTGTGTGTGAATGCATAGATCTTGAGTCATTGATCGAAAAAAAATTAAAACATTCAATTCTATGAAATTCGGGAGTTACTCATGTGACATTTGAGTTCTAAGCTTATAGAAACATGAGAACATAAACAGATTTAAAGTATATTTCTAAGAATTCTACATCTTTTGATTTTCGTAATTTTATGAAAATAGCAAACTTTATGTCGCACATTGCTCTCGAAAAAAAAAAAATTTAATTGTCATTTGAATTTCAAGATTGGGAAAGTTCCTTCTTGATGAGTCATACGGAAATCTCTTAGGGTTGGCAAATTCATAGAAATTTACTATATCAGCCCACACTTACTCAAGTTAAAATTACCAAATAAGACAAACCCAACTGGCAATGAATCATTCTTGTAGCTGTTCAACAGAGATGAAAGACCTTAAACTTCAAAAAAAAAAATCTTCTTTTCATTACCTCATTACTGAAGAAAATTAACCTTCATTTCTTTGTTTGAGCCATTCTCAAAATCCACTGATGCTGCTCAATGAAATACTCACGAAAAATCACATACGGCACCAGACAAAAGAAGAAGGCAAAAAAAATTGTTATTATTTTAGCTTCTCGCATATTTTTTGATTCCTAATGACAATGTCCATGAAATATTTGTTTTATTCATAAGACAGAAGAGAAAAAAATATAAGAATTCAAGGCAAGAAACAAGTCATAATTGCGTTTTTGGTATAAAGACGGCAGAAAAAAATACACACATATTATTTCCGTATTTTAAAGTCTGGCAACGTATCTATATTTATATGTATAGGCATTATTATTATATTTTTTTTTCCTGCATATCTACCCGGCCTCATACATTCATCTATATACGTCGTTATTAAAGAACTTTATTCGAAAATTTTTCATTCTTTATAATTTTACAAACGTTACCGTTAGATAGAACGAAATAAAAGGAACGAGGAAAAGAAGAAGCTATAATGTAAAAAGATAACGGGCTTATGAGCAAAGAAGCGAGAAGAGAAATTCTTCTGCAATGCATTGTGCACGTGGTATGCTTTACTTCCTATAAAAAATAAATTACAAATTCAATTTTGACAGGAAAAGAAAAAAAAAAAAAAAATTCAGCAACAAAATATTCTCAATTGGCCTCGAAAATTATTTTGTGTCGCTTTTCGAGAAATTAAAAATTGTGGAAGTAACGCACAGAAAATATTGTATGCAGTGCGTACAGTAAGTAAAACGCACAGCAGCAACAATCGGTCATTGACCTTTGTTTCCCCGAATGGCGTTCGCTCTTTCTCACTCATTTTATATACATATATATTTTTGTGAACATTACGCACATTTTTAATGCGTCCATCTCTTTTTATTTTTCGTCAGCACTGACAGAGTGTTGTATGTGTGTGCGTATCGTTATTAATACGCACAGTGTTTGATTAAAATGAAGAATAATTCTAAGCAATTTTTTTTTCTTTTCTTTTTTTTCTGCTGTGGATGTTAATGAACTGCAAAAGTTCAGCGTACCTTTTAAAATTCTCAATTTTTTTTCACGACTTCTTTTTAAAAAATCTTTTTTTTTTTGTTGTTGATGTTTGAATGAGTGGCAATTCAATTTTTTATTAATTATTACTGTATTTCTCATTTCTCTTTTGTTTGCTTCTTACAGGAAAAATTACAGCGCTTGATTTTTGTTTTGGACAGTTTAACTCATCTTTTTTCGCTGCGAAATACCACCAGACGTGTTACTGCTGTAAACAGTTTTTATGTTCTTAAGCAACGATATAGAATGGCGGATGATAATGGTTGAATTTTCGATTTTAAGGTAGGTGATAATTTTTCATTTTATTTCAGAGCATATTGGAAGTTTCTTCTATTTAAATGATCGTAGATAAACCTACAAGGTCATATTCAGCATGATATGAAGGTCATTATTTAACACGCGCTATACTGCCTCACGATTTGATTTTAACTTCATTAAAGTGTCAAGTTCTTGTGTTTTGGGGTATCAGAAAACTTAACTGATAAGAACTTTTCATTTCAAGAAAAAATTGGAATATTTTCAAGATACAGCGTGCAAGTAATTAAGTAAAATGCGTCTAATTTCAATATAAAGCTGAAAATTTGATTTATCTTGAAGAAATTAAGTTTTTTATCAACTGATTTCATGGATTAACAGACTACGTTTATTATCACTGCAGGTTGATTGGAAGCTTAAAAGTCTTAGTTTAGACAAAATATCAAAAATAAATGACAAATTAAGAATTCTCAATTATGTGAACAGTTTCAAACTCTATTAAAACTAATTTAAATTGGCACTGATTTCGAAAATATGATAAATGATTTGGGAAGTTTGGGTTTGCTTATTCAATGCCAGAACAAGCACTAATACCTGTTATCGTAAATTTATTGGAAAACTAAGTCGTAATACAGAAAGACAATCTTAGAAATTAAGTTAAAAGAGGTTCTTGATTTTAAAAGATTTCAATCGAAAAAATTTCATTTTTAATGGAATTATTCAAGAAAATTATTAAGTAACATATTTGCTGGCTTAAATTGTGGGATCTTACTGGTTAAATAAACCTTTATAACAATCTTATGGACCAGATCATACTTTTTAAAAGGAAGATGATATCTAGGGTTTTGTATAAAAGAAAACAAAATTGGATTCATTCAAAAGTTATTTTAGTAACTTAGTATATCATGCTAGATAGCGTTCAGTTCCACTAAAACTTATGAAACAAAAAATATTGACAATAAATTCAACAAAAGAACACAAATTTCTGTTAAAACAAAATGATGACTAAGACATTACATGCTCAATGACCAATTATTGTAAGCACTATTCGCTAATGAACAATCATAAAAATAGTATCAAATGTACATTATTAAGAATTACATCGTCTCACTGACGCAACTGTAAACCGGTTGAAAGAAAGAAAGAAAAAATATTCAACTTGAATGTCAGAAAAAAAAACGCGAAATGAAGAGAAAAAAAAGCGAAGAGAAGGTTAAGCAGCATAAAATGAAATAAAGAAAGAAAAAAAAAACTTTCGCTTATAACTGTTTCGTTTGTAAGTAAGCAGAACTTAATTTTTTTCTTCATCTTGAAATCATATGTTCCTGTAGTTCGTCATTTATCTTGCAATATACATATTTTTATATGTCAGACATGCTACACGTACTTTTATGAAAAACTCTTCCTCACTACCTTCTTAAGTAACTATCTCGCTCGTTTGATGTGTCTTTTTAATTTTCCTTAATGCAAAAAATATAAAATAGAACGCGGAAGAGATGAAAAAAATTTGCATGATGAAAATAATGGGAAATAAGAAAATGGCTAGGAGAGTTAGAACTAATTAAAAGATGTGTGAGGATAAATGCCAAGAATATTTAAAGTTCATATATGTTTAGTTCTGTCATAGACGTGGTGTATTAGGAAGTCAATGTAATTATGTATAAATTATTTTATTTTTTTCAGAAGTGACACTCGAAAGTGTCAAGAACATAGTTTTAAAAATAAAGCAAAGTACAATCCCGAAGAGATTAAAGAGAAGGCCAATCGGGCTATTTACGTTATTTCTTTCTCGCAGAATAAGAATTTTTGTCATACAAAGTTGTTGTTGTTGTTGCTGTCTTTTTATTTTATTATATCTTCACATGTCGTTCGCATGAAGACAGTTGAAATATTTTAATGACCTAGGCGAATTTTTTATTTCTTATAAAATAAAAGGAGAGCGCAGACAGTGCAGTTTGAATCATTTTAAAAATATTTTATTTTTATAGATGTTGCGCTGTTCTGGTCGCGTTGATAAAAAGAATTTAAGTTCAATATCACACTCACGTTCAGTTTGCGGACATTCGAAAGTGCAAATGCGTGATAATCAAATTAAATATAAAAAAAGAGATTATTGAAGACGTGCTAAGTGATTGATTGAACGACTGCATTAATCGCTTTACAGTTAGTAAAATACTGTGTAAGTTAACAATATTTTATTTTCGTTCCTTTTTTTGAGGTCACTAAAGCTTTTTGTCTCCTTGGCATTAAATAAATCTGTTTCGCACTTCATTCAAAGGGTATATTCCGCTATGAATGCAATGATCTTTGGATTTTCCATTAAGTTATTGGCGTAGTTTGCTCCATATGTGTGATTGTACGAGCGCATATGCTTGTTATCACTATTTTAGAAATATTAATGATTGTTTGCTTACATAGCCAGAGTTGATGTCTGTGATGTGGATGGAATCAGCCAAAATCTGTCAGATTACCTTCAGTTTCTCTAAAAATCCATAGTTGAATTCTGTGCTTCACAAACGTAGGCGATGACATTAATTGATGAAAAAAGTGGGGGGTGGGTAATAAAAATCAGGAATTCTGCCTACAAAAAGACATCATATTTGCAAAATTTGCCACCATAGCCTAATCTAGATCCCCAAATTAACAACCCTGAAGTTAAATCTTATTGACAAGCATCTTGCTTGCAATTTCATTATTAAATTTAAAATATCAAACGATTTTTATGCATGCTGTCTGTAAAAATTTCTGCAGTCGCGAAAATATTTATTTTTTGGTTTCATTTACGTCAATGAATTTATATGACTTCTATCTTTGAACTTACTCTTAAAGGATTCTGAAGACTGTGATATGATAAAATTCTGCATATTAAAATCTTAAATAATAACCTTAAAATCTATTTTTATCGACTCAAAGTTCCAACGAATCTAAAAAAGTTTATCGAACAGCAATTCTCCGAAGTCATTTCATTCTGTATTAACTATTCAGCAACTTTAATTAACATCTCTGTAGTTCAAGCTTAATAAATAATGTGAATAACTTTTCTAGTCCACCTCCATAGGAGAATTGATGAAGTAGATGACATGAAGTCTCTGTGTGATAATTTTCATAAGTTAAACATTGAATTTCATTATGGATAGCACAGCAACAAGAGTGAAAATTTTACGTAAAATGTGCGGAAACTTTCTTTGAAGAAGAATGATTAAAGGCTTTTGGATACATAAGTATGCCTTAATGGAATATGCAAATTATTCTTTTGGTGTTGTTGAACTCTGTTGCTTTTATTTTGGTATTGGAATGAATAAAAGGTAGCGTGTAAGGGATTTCCCAAGGCATCTGAAAATGAGCTTCTTGTTTTTGATGGAAAGTTGGTCATTAACCGCATAAACTGGGTATTGAAGTTTGAGTTTAAGCTGTGGTCTGCTGTTGGGGGTTGAGTTTTACTTGACCAAACTTTAAATCAGAGAGAAAAAACTTTATCTTTAGTAGGAATGGCTGTGAAGTTGCAAAAATCATGATAAAGTTTTGCATTATAATTATAAAGCCGTTAAGAATCGTTGATGTCAACGACAAAGCTGCTGAAATCAAATGATATCACAAAATCGACATCAGTGATTTTCCCCAGTAACTAGCCACCTCAAATTCTGGTTTTAAGCTGAACCTAGTGTCAGATCATTTCCACTTGTGAATTTACTGTTAAGCCATTACATATCCACTCTATTAGTATAACTCATCAAATATGACAGAACACCCAACATATTTAATGATACTCCAAATTAGCAAATTTCCATCCAGCTGCTAAGTGTAACGGTTTTGTAGATTGAAAATAACTGAATGATGGCATTTACACCTTTTAAATCATTTATACCAAAAACTCTAATGTACCCAAGTGTCATTTCTGTCCAAACAATAAATCTATTAATAACGTCATAGGCTATTGTCCAGTTAGTGCAATCTCCCATGGAGAATTTTAAGTGCTTAATTGACAGCCATTTGATAAGCCCAAAAAAAATCTTTTTTTACTCCAACATTGCCAATAATAGTTTTTTTGCGTAATGCTATAGATTCGGAAATTGCTGAATAATTATCAAAAAAAATAAATTTTTCTTACTCTCATAAAATTATCGATTACATACATTAATCACACAAATTCTTATGTAATATCCATATGAGCAATGAATGAATAAATAAAGAAGATTCTCGCTCGTTCTCACTTATTCTCCGTTTATGAGTTGTAAGTTCAAGGGTTCATTGTATTCTTTTACATATCTATGATGTAATGAAGAAAAAAAGGCAAAGAACTGCAAAATACATGCTACATCCACATTGTAATGTTCACACATACATCTATAAATAGCGAGTAGAATATAAGTTTTCGGAATATTTTTATATATATGCTGAGTGAGAGAAAAGACAGAATATTTTCGTTACTGCTGCTGTTTTTGGTGCTTTATTTTCGTGTATATAAATATTTTTTAAAGGATCAAGGATCTCATCAACATCACAACCTTCAACTTGAATTTTTGGGGCGTGTATTTGTGTAAGCTTGCCGTACATACACGAAAAAAGAGATGTTGCGGGTGTGTTGTTAAAGGGACAAAGTTGATTGTACGCATTCGGGAAAAGCTTTACTACGCACGCACACACACAAATGAAGCCAGAGCACTATAAGAGATTTCAGCATTTCATTCATCCTGATTGAATGTTTCATCCGAAAGATGACGATGAAAAAATAAAGTTGCGTGGAAAAATAGTCGGAGAAGCGTCACCAATACATGCTCGTATTGCCGGTGAATGACTTTTTTCTCTTCTTCAACTGTTCATTGTACTTCCTTATATCGATTTTCCTACAAAAAAAAAAATATTCTCGCTTCTTCAACAGAGCTTCAATGCTTTTTTTTTTGAACCAAAAACGATTTTTATTCCTTTTCTCTTCGGGGGTTATTTATTTAGTTGTTGTAAATAAAAAAGGATGAGAATAGCCAACATGCAATGAAATAAAAATGCATCGTTTATTTGACTGGGTAAAG